ATCAAAAGTTTACAATATTTAATTGCTATACCAGCGATTGTTATTATAATTAAACCTCAAAAACTCACCTTTTTCCAGGGAAGGAATTTTTCTTTAAGATCAGAAGGGAAGGGAAAGTCAGGGTACTCCATCGCCTGCGTAGGTAGGTTAGAGATAAGGTTCTTATAAAGACCAGAGTGTACTGGGTAGCCATTTTCACCTACCCCTGTCTTGTCTGTGTACAACCACACACCCCCTGAAATAGATTAGACAAGAAAAAGATGAGCAGTGTTAACTATTGTTTTATGATTTATCTCGAATAGGAAAATATTTTGGAAGATGTGGCGGCACAGATTTAACAATCGCAATCAACATGTATACAAGGTTACATCGTAAATGGTATTAGGTATTATCAAGACTACGTAATAGGGATTATGTACTCTCTATTATGTACTCTTGTTATTATGCAATGCCTGTAAGTTACACCTGCTGCTTTTCTCTTTCTCGTAAAAAATGTCTCAACTGGTAAATCCAAAAGCAATTCTCTTGCCTCCGGATATTCTCCGTCGGTGCAGGCGAGGCATTATCAATGCCAGGTTCCCATCTCTTTCTTAAGGAAGTCGGAGCTATATTCACCAACATTTTATGATAGATTGTGTGTATAAAGTTATATAAACATTCCGATTAACTGTTGCTTTTGAATTAATTGCTTATGCCTTTACGATGTAACCTTGTATACATTGCGATTGTTAAATATGTGCCGCCACATCGTCCGAAATATTTTCTAATCAACACGCAAACGAGGCAAACATTACACGAATTCAATTTTCACTCACCGATGTTATCTCCACGTTCGTAAACCTCGAATTCGAAATCTTGCGGTCGTGCGGCAAGCATGCGGGCAGAAATCAACCCTGACGGCCCGGCTCCAATCACAGCCACTCGTAATGGTGCCATACTAGATGTTTAACCTGTGTTTATAAAGAGGACAATGTAAGTTATTGTCACGTCAAAGTGTATATTAAAAGTTCATTGGCATACTTGACTTAAGTATAACTGGGTGCGATGTAAGTGTAATGTCTAATCTATGTCACTTGCACACTAATAATAGTGTTAATTAACATTTCCTGGATCCATTCACCTACGTGATACAGGAACTGGCATTGATACTGGTGGGTACACTACAGGAGCTGGCATTGATACTGGTGGCTACACTACAGGAATTGGCCGACTTGGGTGGGTACGCAGCAAACGCGAGCAGCGACCTGGTCTGAAGCTATTATTCAATATTGTATATATGTCTGGAGCGGCGTTGGAAGCCATTTCTTCACTAATAATGGATACTAATCTTGGTATACGATAGGTAAACATAAGAATTGAAATGCTCCTAAATGATGACTGTTTTAGGGTTCGTTCACATATTTTCCGGTATTGACTCTGGATCGAGGGAGAAGGCAATAGCGGTGATTACCCCGTCCCTGGACCCTCCAATGGAAATGCGCCGTAAATCCAATGTAGTTCCCGTAGATCCCGCCGTAGTTTCTTATAACGAGTCGAGCTTTCACACTCTAACTAGTTAGCATATGTAGGTTAGGCCGTGGTAAAGGGCCCACCCTAAGCAAAATCAAAATGAGTTGTATTTCATAGATAGACCCAGGATAACATTGTTCCACAGAAGCATGGTCCGATCATAGCACCATACCTGACGTCATCACGATTATAGGTTGCAACCGGCCATTTTGTTGCTGAGAGAGAGAGGGAGACAAATAGCAGCGATAGCAGTAGCAGTAGCAGTAGCAGCAGCAGCAGCAGCAGCAGGCAGTACAGTCAGCATCAGTCGCTTTGTATGGCAGCAGCAGGCAGCAGGCAGGCAGCAGCAGCAGCGACAGCAGGAGTAGCGCAGCAGCAGCCGCGCGGCGCGGCAGCAGTCAATCAGCGGCAGGCCACCACAGCACCCACACACAGCCAGCCGGGCTTTGGGTCACAAGAATTCCGGTCAGCACAAGGAGCACCGCGGCACACACCAACACCACGCACACACACCACCACGCCACGCACACCCACCAGCTACGACACACAATCACACACACTCCAACAAACACCACCGCACATTCATCATAGACGAGTTTTTTTTGGGATATCGACCGCACACGCACAACAAACACACGCACTTTAGCGCGCACAACCCAGCATCACCAACGTGTTACGTTACGTCCAGACCACCGCACATTCACCCACACACACACACCAGTACACAGATATAATAATATTACATAACACCCAACGATACCACGACCCAACATTCAAAGCCAGTTGCACATTGCCTCCACACACACACACACACACGTTCGTTCTAGCACCGACTGACCGGTTTGCGCTGTAGCCTATCTTCTCGTCTAGTGTTTGCATGGCCGGCACTTAAATATCGCCAAGAGATGGATCAACACAAACGCACGGGACGTCACGAGCAAATCACTAAACACACCTATAAGCATGCCGCACGCTCGCGAGCATACAAACACAGCGACAAGACAAGACCAAGCAGCTAGCCGCAGCAGCAGCAGCAGCAGCATGCGGCCAAGGCTTGGTCGCCTTCTAGGCTGTGAAGAGCGCCGAGGTGTTGGTGAGGGGGGTGGCTGGAGGGGGGGCCCGCGTTTGGATGTTGTATCACTCCATTACACGCTCTTATGTGGTAATGTAGTGTGTACACACGCACGCCGCTTTAAGGAGGTAAATTACCGGCGCGCTGACCCTCTTTAAGCCGATCATGTATGTTAACAACGTTATTTTGAAGTCGGCGCAGCTTCCGTAGTCCGGCTTGTACACACGGACGCGCATGTAGGGAGGGACCTCTGTGCGAAATCGTCGCGCATAGTTGGTGCAGGTTGCTTTTAAGCTTTATGATGTTTTACGACGGTCATCTAAATTAAGTTTGGTCCTGCCAGAATATATTCCGTTTAACGAGGTCGCTGCTCTTGTCTTTATCCGATAAAGCTAACTTGCGTAAGCAGATTGTTTTTCAAACACGATCGCGCACGTTTATTTGAGGCCAGATGAAGCGCGTCGCGAATGTATGCTACTGTATTCACTCAAGCATGAAACCGAACATAATACATTTCTTTATTATACTTTTTGATGTGCTAGAATTTTTGTATATGATTTATAGAATCTCGATCCATATGCTCAACACCAGATCCTGTACCATAAGCCGTTCTCGAAAATACGTGATACCACGTGACTATCACGCGCGAGCACCAGCAACCGAACGCAAATTCTTATAACAGTAACCTTAACTCTCGAAGTTTGCTATGATATTCAGACCCTCTACAGCACGCAGAACAACTGCGCGTCTAGCATACGCTACTCAACACAGAGCACTATGGGACTCACACCTGACTGGCCACAGGCTAAGTTCTCACACACGAGACATAGAGACTCAGCAGCTTAGGCACCCTCTATATATAGGCGCTACTCTGGTTTTCGCCCGTCTTCACTAACATACGAACGCTCCCCGAAACATAGAATATAATACACATCTGCGCGGCAAGGCTACTAAGGCAAATGCAAGGTTCAACTCCACGCGCACAATCTATCGCATATTACAGGCAAACACACTCGGTCGCTAACAAAACTGTAAGTATGCGTGGCCTCCAGATCATGGGGGGGAAAAAAAAATAAAAATGCACTTTTTCGGGGCCAGCTTTTTTAAACTTGCGTGCATGAAAATTATACTCTAAAATTTTGTTTGCATTGAAATCTAGTGCAAACTTTACACGGGGGATCTTTGTTTGAGCATATTCGCGGGGGCTCTTTTTCGGCATTTCGGGGCTCTTTTGGGCATGTTCGGGCTAAATTCGCCCCGAGCCGGCCGTGTATTTTTTCACTGCCGCCGGCATGATTGCTATCGATCATCTATAAAGGTCCCGCTGGGAACCATAATTAACGACTATAGACTCTTTTTGTTCCCGTATAGCGTCGGGAATATTTAAGTGCGGGGCAATCACAATTTCAAACTGTACAAAGGCAAAGACTGCGCGGACAACCGAACCAACCTTAAACGTTTGTAAGACATGGAAAAATTAGAAAGCATTTCATTCCTAGTGCACACACAATGACGAACAACGTCGCGGCCATAATAACCTGCGACATAACAAAGATAATTTAGAATACATGAACGTAGTTTAGACGACGCGAGAAATACATGGTCACGAGATCTTGGCACGATTGTGGGAGCTTCGCATGTATTTAAAAACCTCTTTACAGTTTGACATAAAATGTTGTCGCTTGGGTTACGGTTAATTTCTAACGGCTACTAAGACGTTAGCATTTCTAAGTATATCATCTGCTGCAATAGACGGGATGGGAGAAATGTTTGCACATATCCATAGTATTTCCGCCTTAGCTGTGGTAACAGGCGCTTTCAGAATGAACACTGTCGCTTGAAACACATGTGTAGGTGTATACAAGTCTCCAGAGTATAGCTTAGCAATTGTGATAACCACATAATTATTAGTCAAATGTAATAGGTGCTAATATTGACAACATCAGTATTTACACTATGAACCTTCTGTTGAAAAGTTAACGAGTTGATAGATAGACGAATAGTGATGACTTAATTGCCACATTTTATTAGTGATACGTAATAGGTGATAATTAATAGTATAATATTGTTGCGTAA